CTGAGTGACCTGCTGCTGGCGCTGTGCTGCATGCCCTTCACCCTCGTGCCCAGCCTCATGGGCACCTTCGTCTTCGGCCCCGCCGTCTGCAAGCTCGTGGCCTATCTCATGAGTGAGTGCGGGGGGGATCTGGGGGGGCTGGGGATCTGGGGGTGCCGGGATCCGGGGGGGCTGGGTGCGGGGCCGGGGATCTGGGTGCCAGGGATCTGGGGGGGCAGGGATCTGGGCCCGTGCTGGTGCCGGGGGGATCGGGCCGGGGTCCGTCTCCCTGCCCCCGGGAGTGGCGCTGGGTGCCCGGTTCGCCTGCACCCCCGTGCTGGGCAGTGCGGGGCACGGGCCGGGGGGGGGCTCACGCGGCGTGTGCCCCCCCAGGCATCTCCGTCAGCGTCTCCACCTTCAGCCTGGTGGCGATCGCCATCGAGCGGTACAGCGCCATCTGCAACCCGCTGCAGTCCCGCGTGTGGCAAACCCGCTCCCACGCCTACCGGGTCATCGCCAGCACCTGGCTGCTGTCCCTGCTACTTATGCTGCCCTACGCCATCTACAGCACCACGGTGCCCACCCGGCCCGGGCTCGCCCAGTGCCAGCACCGCTGGCCCAGCCAGCCCTTCAAACAGGCCTGGTGAGTCGGGCCCCCTGTGCCCCCTGTGCCCCTAGCACCCCCCTGTGCCCTCAGCACCCCCCTGCGCCCCTCTGTGCCCCCTGCACCCCTCTGTGCCCCCTCCATCCCTCTGTGCCCCCAGCGCCCCTCTGTGCCCCCTCCATCCCTCTGTGCCCCCAGCACCCCCTGTGCCCCCAGCACCCGCCTGTGCCCCCCAGCATCCCACTGCATCCCTCTGTGCCCCCTCCATCCCTCTGTTCCCCCAGTGCCCCTCTGTGCCCCCTCCATCCTCCTGTTCCCCCCAGCATCCCACTGCATCCCTCTGTGCCCCCAGCGCCCCCCTGCATCCTCCTGTTCCCCCAGCACCTCCCTGTGCCCCGCAGTGTCCCAGTGCATCCTCCTGTGCCCCCAGCGCCCGGCCTCGCCAAGTGCCAGCACCGCTGGCCCAGCCGCACTGAGTCATGGCCCCCCCGTGCCCCACCGCCCCACTGTGCCCCCAGTGCCCTGCCCCCCCTCCCCCGCAGTGGGGCCTGGGCTGGGCTCTGGCCCAGCGGACGCACTGCCCGGCGCCCCGTTGGGATGGGGCAGCCGGCGTGGGTGGTCCGGCCCGGCTGACTGGGGGTGTCCAGGCCGCGGGGAGCTCGGGCAGAGCAGGGCCCCGGGAGGGGAGGGGCTCCCGTGTGA